GACAGCAGGAAGAAGGACAAACAGAAGTGCGTACATAGACACAATAACAAGTTGCAAAGTGCTCGCACAACAAGAATAGTACGCAGTGTGAGTCCACTGTAATGAGCTGGGACTCCAGTGTGAGGAACACACCAAGAACGTGTTTTTCACTCGTCACGTGATCCAGCCGTGTGCACAGCTGCTTCCAGCTCCTTCAGCCCTACAGCTGCCTGCATGCTGACAGGGCTGCGTCTCCTCCTCCGTGGCCTAACGAGCCACAAGCTCATTGTCATGTTCATTAATGTGCAAACTGTCATGACCACGAACGACCACGAGCACCATTCGCAGAGTCGGGGAGTGTCTGTGGGACGTGTTCTTAGCTCGGCTCACAGGTGGTCCTTATGTAAACATCCTGCGTGACTTCTGGTCGCTCTTAAAGTTAATAATCCATCAATGAGCTATTAAAAATCAAAGCTGCGGACTCTGGTCAGCACGTGCTGAAGCTCCTCCCCCTGTGCCACGGGCAGTCTGGGTTACTTGATTTGAGTTGATATACCCTTATTGCTGATTACTGGCTGGTGAGAAGCTGTCATCAGGCTCCAGAGGCCACTCGGAGCCGTCTGTTCGTCACACCTCTGGAGTTTGCTCTTGTTGTTTTTACCTCGTCCTTAGTGGGTTTTATCCAAGTGCACCGCTGTGGAAAGCTGCCACACCGTCGCCCCGCAGTTCACCGTCCGAGGTTCTTTCAGCCTTCGTCATGTTTGCATCTGCTGTGTTATGAGATCTGCTTGAATTCAGGATGAATAGTTGAGATGATGATTTTTAATGATACCATGGTAACCTCTTTCCTTCTCGCCTCACGCACGTGTCTCCTGAGCAGGACGTCGGCAACAAGAAAAGTTCCATTCAAGGTTATCAGATGGCATCAACTCACAACAAGACTGTCGTCAAGGTGATTTTTATGCTACTCTACAATATTCAGGAGAAAACTTCATCACACAATCCCCTGTCAACAGCACTGGGCGACAGTGGGAAGGAAAAACTCCCTTTTAACAGGAAGTAACCTCCGGCAGGCTCAGGGATGGGCGGGGCCATCTGCAAAGACATGCTGTGGAAGAGAAACAGATTAATAACAGGTATGATTCAGTGCAGAGAGGTCTGTTAACACACAGTGAGTGAAGAAGAAACACCCAGTGCATCATGGGAATCCTCCAGCAGCCTACACCTATTGCAGCATAGCACCGTGGCTCACAGTGACAGCACTCGTCATTTTGTGTTTGCTCCTGAGGCTGTGACCCTCTGATGTCATCTTCCTTCGTCTTATCAAAGTGTTATTGAATTCCTGTGTCTGTGAGGACGATCGTCTTTGCTTTAACGTCATTATGGCCACAGTACAGTCACTGCTGGGACCAGCAGCAGACTGGTAAGAGGCTCCGTCACGCGTGACCCGGGCCAACACCAGGACCGGGTGGATTCTCTTTGTCTGTGACCCAGAAGGAGGAGCGCCGTGTTTCACACAGGCTGCTGATATTCCCTGACACACAAACACCCTGCAGCTTAAATATGTGCTGTTTTCAACATCTGTAAAATGTCCCCAGAGCTTTTACAAGCGGATATTAAAGTGGACACACAGCAGACGTGGTTAATTATCCTGCTTTAGAAAATGAGATTAATTGGGGGCACTATAGACAAAAGATGTCTTTTTTTGTAAAAAACACTTTTTTGTGTAATTTGCGTTTGGCAGCATGGCGCAGCTCTCCCACCTTTCCACACGCTGCAGTCAGCATCGTCACAACAGTTTGGGCACAGTGAGGTGTTTCTCATACCGCTGCTAATAGAACAGTTCTACAAAGAAGCTGTGGAAGTGTAATAATATCTCAGTCCTTCAGCCATCGAGGAGTGCAGGAAGGAGCACTGAAGAATAAAAGACCAGCAGCAGGAAATCATTCAACCGCGGGGTTCTTGTAGGGTCTTCACCTCACAGTATAAAGCACGTTGAGGTGGCGTTTGCTGTTGGTGCTGTTGAATAACACCAACAAAGATCTGTGACATATAGAACTGTTTGGATCACAGGAAGTCTGGTCCCAAACTGAGAGTAAGAGGAATATCTGAGCTGCCATCGCAGCAGGAAATGCCTCGAACAACTTTAAAGGAACATCTCCCCTCGGTACACACACACACGCACACACACGCACACACACACGCACACGCACACACACACACACACACACAGTATGTATCAGTATTGTGGTTACTGGCTCCTCGGTGAGTCTGAATGCTGGGATGTGTGGGCTGCTTGTTCCTCCTGTGTGATTCAGGGTCTGGTCTTTCTATAAGCGAGGTCATTAATGCAGCCGTGCTGAGGCATGTTTGGATACTTTTAGTGAAGCAGACACGGAGCTGACTGCAGCCAGCAGCGCTCTCTCACAAAGCATCCATCATGACAGTTCAGCATGATAACAGCAGCACAGAGCAACATAAATTTCTGGCTTTGAAAGTATTTTTATGCTGCACACCCACATGGAAAAGATGTGTATGAATCTTATAAAGTTTGTATCTGTCTTGTGTGAAACTTGTATGAAAAGCATATAAGAGTGAAAACAGATATAAGATCCCTTGAAAAATTATATAATGAAACTTGTATGTTTTAGATACTTCCTAAAACAATGTATGAAAGTAATGAGAAAGTGGCCACTTTCATGGGTAATCATATAAGTTTTCACTGTTTCTTTTCCATATGGGTGTTTTCACATTAATAATCTGTGCATGTAGTTACTGTTTTGTGTGTTTCAGTACTACAAACTGTTACACAGACACCAAATTAAATAATGTGAGGCTGCTAACGAGCAGAAGATGAACGTTCAAGCAGCAGTGCTGGAACCAACCCTGCGCTTCCTTCAATTTAGAAAATTAATTACATTTTTGGTCTTCAGGGTTTAGCAGGACGGTCTGATGGCACGCTAACATGTTCGGAGCCTTCCTCGGCGTCACTCCTCCTCCCCCGCATCCCATCCACGGCCAAACCAAATACCTTTGTCCATATCTGCAGTGATCCATCACTGTGGCCATCGCACACGCACGCACGCACGCATGCGCGCACACGCACACGCACACGCACACACAAACTGTTTCCAGCAGTGTGTTTTATTTCTTTTAAAGACATGTTGTTGATGTCACAGCTGCATGAGGTCAGTGTGTGCGCAGCGTGATTCACACGTTAGTCTGTGTGGGTTTTAAAGGCTGATGTGACCAACAACATGGCTGCTGTGAGGTCACTGTAACAGAGCGTCCACGTGTCAAAGTCTGGAGACAAAGCAGATGGTGGAGCGTGATGAGGACCCAGAGTGCAAACAGGGAGAACGTACAGTGTGAGGAAAACATGAAACAGCCCAAAAAGAGCGTATCTGTGGAGGACACAGATACGCTGACTAAGACTAAAGAAGGCATCAACTCTAAATACTCGGGAGGCTGATGAGCAGAGAGCAGACACGAATCACCGAGCACGAGAGACTAAAGAACAGGAAGAAACAGACGGCGTCGTCTAACATACAAACAACAACAGGACACCAGGAACACAATCACAGTGTCAGGCCCAGATCTGTCACCCAGTATTTCCAGTTTATTTTGTTTAATGATTGTGTTATTATTTTATTGCGTCTAGTTATGTCTCTTCTATGTGTCCTTGTTTCCTGTATAAGTCTGTCTTGTCCTCTGTGCCCGTGTCCTCGTCCCTCTTATCTGCGTCTCTCCTTGTGTTCTGTGTCTCCCCGTCTGTCACGTCTGCTGTTCCTCGTTTGACATTTGTCAAGCTCGTCATGTCTTCGTCTCTTGTTGTTCCTGTTTGATTTTGAAGAGTCTGTTGTTCCATGTTCAGTGTGTTTACTTCCTCTGTGGCGTTCAGGCTCATTTGTGTCAGCTGTGTTTGTCTCGCCTCATGTCCCGTGAGTCTCGGCTCTTCATGTCTCAGGTTTTCTTCATGTTCCTGTTCAGGCTGTGTTCATGTCATAGCTTTAGTTTCTCCAGTTCACCTTGATTTAGTTTTTTGCTATCAGCCTAATAAACGGCTGGTTTTCTCTGTCCTGTGCTTGCTTTTGGGTCCACAAACACCCGAAACCCGTAACACACAGGCTAGACTACATGTAAGAGGATCTGAGAATGTAAACATAAGTAAAACCATCCATGAAGATCCGAACGAGAAATAAGAAAACACCAGTCAAAATACCACAATGCCAAATATAAAACTCAGTGTCAGCCTCTCTTTCGGGGCTCCATGAAGTCCGAGCTCACGTTTCTGATACGATTTTATTTTTTAAATGTCATTGATCAGCCTTAATGCACATCCAGATGTGTACAAGCTGAAACATTCTGCCTTTGGGCCTCGGGGCGGCTGCGATGGAGGCAGATGTTTCACTTTAAGCTGCTTCACTGATGAGATTTCTCTTCTTGGATTTTTTTCTTGCAGGGAAGAAAAACCTTCCCCAGTGAACACGTGCGCTCCACTTCTTCAGTAAGTCTTTTTGTTTCTCGAGCAGATGTTGGGAGTCGTCTCATTCTCGAGGCGGTGCGCTGAAGGTTTGCCAGAATCGGACCGTCACTGACTGTTATCAGCACCAGAAACTAGTTTCCTGTCATGGGAGCTCCAAGGAAAAGGCGGGGCCTGTACAGCATGCAGGGTCTGTTCCTCTGAAGAAGGCGGGACTTTCCTAGAGAAGCACATAATGAGCTGAGGGAATGAGGTGCACTGATCAACCATGGAGTCAAAGCTGTAAGCACACAGTATGCTTGGTGTGGTTCATCTGAACATATGTACACATGTTATATCAGCACCCTCTGAAGAGCCCACCGGTGTGTCCTCTGAAGCACCACAGAGAAGCAACCAAGTATGTAGGCCATGTAAGTGCTCAAGGAAGAAAACAGGAAGCAGGTTTCCTGCAGAACAACATGTAAACTCCACAGACCAATCTGGTGTCTTTAGCTATAAATTACACTCACATGAGCAATCACTTCTCCCCCACTGCAGGCTGGTGGGAGGAGTGGAGACAGCAGCAAGGCGTTTCCTACAGAAAAAGTTACAGCTCCCTATATGGCTAACCACTTGTGTGCTGTATGTGTGGAGGGCACGGACGCAGAGCGGCACATCTGTAAGTGACTCGCAGCCTGTGCATGGGTAGGATGGCTGCAGCGATTTATCTGGGGAAAGAGCAGATAGTGATTGATTCAGAGGCTGATGTTCATGCAGCTTCTCTGTGCAGTTTTCATTGGTTCAGAAACTCCTCAGTTTTAACCTGTGAATTCATTTATTTCAGTTTGAACATGAATGTTGTGTCAGACAGTAGAAAGGTGACGCTTAGCTATGAATGTTTCCTGTAAAGGACGACAAGTGTGGGGAAATGATTCATTCCTATTGCTGATTATTATTCATGCAAAGACGAACAGGAGCTGATGCATTTAAAGTGCTTTGTTTGCATTTCATCTGTGAGGTAAATGAGTCTATGGAGGCTTTTTAATGCACAGAATGTGCAAAGTTTTTTTTCCTGCAGCAGTTTTTGTGATGATTGTTTGATTTTTAGTCAGAGACAGTCGTTCAGATGTTTTACTTTGTGGTTCATCACTGAGACGCGATGAGGTGCAGTTTTTTATTGCTGGTTGGGTTTTGTGGTTTGTAGAGTCTTTGTTAGCCTCAGCCTGCGGTGCTGCAGTGTGACTGTGGCTTCATCTGAATACTGCTGACTCTGAAATGTCTCAAATGCTCTAACGTCCAAAATCTAAAGAGCTTTTTCATTTCAAGCAGAAACTGTTTGGCAAGACATCAGTTTAGTTTTTATCACAATCAAACTCAGAGTCAATAGATTTTGTTTTTAAACACAACCTTATTTCTGATCGATTCTTCTGTTTCAAACATCCTGAACTTATCTTTGGGATGAAGACGCTAAAAACAGATTTCTGAGAAAACAACATTTGCACAAGTTTTATGAGATTTTTATTATTTAAAAGGACACAAAACACATCAGTTAAAATATTTAAACATGTTAAGATGTGACCGTCTGTTACAGACAGACACAAAATATAAAATGAAAACATTTCTTATCATTCTGTGAGGTGTTATTTCAGTTACCTTCATTTGGGTCCCCTGACGTGAGCTCATTTGAATATTGCCTACACCACCAAGATCGCACTTAAGTTTGTTTGATTTTAAATTATTGATGAAAGTTTGTGGGTCCTCCTCTCAGCCAGGACTCATGAAATCCATCCCAGCATTAATCTGAGGATTAATCTGGGGTAGGAGACAAACACAAGTCACTGCCTTTGAGTAACATCGAGCTTAATGTCCACTGAAAAACACCAGAAACAGACAAAGTTCAGATAATCAAATAATAATCAAACAAATGTGTTGGAGAGGAAGTCAAACTGTTTTTAAGGATGAGGCTGAGGATGGCCGTGCGAGTCTCTGCAGGCCCTCGCGGAGATGCAGACATTCATGGACGCTGTGGGATCTCAGAGCTCTAACTGCTGAGCTGTGAATGTAAAAGCTTCGAGTTGAAGCTGTGCTGTGTGGTTAATGTGTTCGTATCTGTAGACTAATATTTAAAAAAGGACAAATGACGCTGATAAAAGCTGACATCTGTAAAACAAAGATTAGTTTCTCTGCAGGTTTGTGTCGTGTTTTTGTCACTGTTGAACTTCCATACGGTGAGCCCCCATCCTCTCCAACTGCAGCTCCTCTGGTTTCCATTTCAGTCTTTGGACGGCGCCTAAAAAGCTCTGCAGTTTCATCATATAGGAGCCTAAAATGTGTCTGCAGTGCGTCAGTGAGGTCCCCTCAGCTCCAGGAGAACATTCCAGAATCAGCACCGCTCTCCAGCATTTTCTCGATGCTCTCAGCCTCTTCTGAAAGATTTTATTTATGCCAGTATGCAAATTTGCATTAATAGGGGCGTGGCCTCTGAGTGACGTTTTATTTGGATGTGACTGTAAGTGTCAGCTAATTATTCCTGTGATGCTACAGGCAGAGTTACAGACGTGCAGCGTCCATCTGTGGAGCTGTGGGAGAGTTTAAGAAAGCTTTTATTCTGAAAACTGAGGGTGGGGGTTTCCACTTTTTTCCACTCGTCAGCTTATTAAAATCAGTTTATGACACTGATCTGACACACCACACCCACAACGATGGACACGCCCACACTGTCGACTGCAGCCATGTATGACCTGCTCATTTTATAGCTTAGATCCCCTCCTGTGAGCCATAAGAGTGTGTGTGTGTGTGCGTGCGTGCGTGTGCGTGTGTGCGTGTGTGGGTGTGTGTGTGCGTGTGTGTGGGTGTG